ATCCGATAACTAATATGCATACATTTCTCAAGTTTCTGTTCGTTCAAATCCATGTAACTAACATGTCAAAGCAGAATAGTCCTGAAAAGCATTCAAATACAGTGGAAAATCCACTTTGCCACCATTCGAATGGTGAAGAATACACTTCATCACTAAATAGAGCTCCCTCAGCTTCTCCAAACACATAGTCAACCAAGCATCCTATGAGGATCGATAATGCAGGCCTAATTAAGATGCCTATCACCAGGTTGCAATCGTTTACAATCTCAGTTTGACAGAATGACTTAGAGAACTCTTCACAACCTCATTCCCTCATTCGCTTGTTGCGCTGCAAACACGGGACTTCTCGTCATCTTTGGAACTGTAACACCAGCTTGTCGACTACTTAAATTCTTAGTTTTGTCAGTGATCCGTAGGGTCCCCCCGCTGCTGGCAAGTGGTCACCACATGGTCCATACTTTCAAATTCAGAACTTATGACTCACTTTATGGACCCGCCATCCCCGGACAAAATATCTGGCGTGCGGGCTTGACGTCGAATAGGAGAATGTCGGTCTCAGTGACTGGGTGATCCGTACAGGCCGGACTGTTGAAAGGGTTTGGGAGAACTTTGAGTCAGCATTTTAAGGCGACATGCGTAGCTTCATTTCTTGGTCAGCACCACGCAGGTCTTTTCAAAGACCCTCTTGGACAGACAATGAGATCGTTGGTTTACTAAAATGGAGGAAGCACTACAGGTTTCCACCTGTAAAGTTGGGTTTTGCTACGTTTCATCTGGAGTACCGCGAAGCCCGAAATTCCTTCACGAGCCGGTCACTAAATGCCTAGTTGGATACAGAAAGCACTTAACAAAGGAACGTCTCGCCTGTCCTAAACCAGCTGAGCTTAAGGCTTTCGAGGAGAGATTGACCACCCACTTTGTTCCATCGATGTTTGATGATGTTTCCTTTGTAGTTTTCTTGCTTTCCGAAGGATATTTTTCTTGCATTAGTTTGTTGAGATGAAAGTACTTGAAAAAGGACCAAACTTCGACATAGCAGTAGGCCATTTTGGACCAAAAGATGTCATACCTAGCATAGAAGTAGCATTAAGCTTGACGGACGTGACAACTGCTGAACAGGTTAGAGCTCAGTGTGCATTAGCACCAAAAAAACAAGAGAAGACACAGCGAAACTTGACGAAACTGGAAAATTCAGCTTTAAACAATTTACGAAAGGATAATAGTTAAGTAACAGCTAAATCTGACAAAGGTAACTCAACAGTACTTATGGACAAATCGGATTATCTCAAAAAGTGGATGAACATATCCAAACAGGGCCATATGAAGAGATTAAGAAACCTATAGATACTGTCATGAATAAAATTAAGAAATCTACAACAGCTCTGATACGCCGACTGAAGCCATCTCTAAATAGGTCCGAATGGTTTACTTAATGCCAAAAACTCATAATCCTAGCAGAATTTACGGTACTATTAAGGTTCATAAGGCAGGTTATCCCGTTAGGCTGATAGCTGACTTCCGAAACACACCAACATATGAGATATCAAAGTACTTAGCATCAGTATTACGTCCTATTAGAGACCATTCATACTCTAGACTAGTAAATTCTTACGAGTTGAAACAAAAACTTAATGATCTGCACACAGAAGAGAATGAAAAAATGGTTAGTTTTGATGTAACAAGTCTTTACACTAAAATACCAATCAGTATGGCACTGGGGCAGTCAGAAATCAACTAGATACTGACTCACAACTTACTCAAAGAACCAAGGCGTCGGTTGATGAAATCATGTTTGGAGTGCAGTTATGCTTGACCTCAACAGTCTCCAAGTTTCAGGGAAAGATATATAGGCAAACAGAAGGAGTAGCAATGGGATCACCAATATCCCCTATAGTAGCAGATATACTTATGGATAGTTGGGAAGATATGGCTTTACGAACATATAATCCGACACCTTAGATATGGTGGCGATATGTGGATGACACATTTACAGTGTTGAAATCGGAACATATCGACAGTTTCTTGACACACATAAACTCAGTAGTTAACGCAATCCAATTCACCTACGAAGCAGAAAATGAACAAGGAGAATTACCTATGTTGGATTGCAGAATAAAACGAAGGATAGATGGTGGTTTAGATACTACCGTCCACAAAAAATCAACACATTATAACAGGTATCTAAACTTCAAGTCATCTCATCCAGTGTCATTTAAAGCGGGCTTAGTCAAATGTCTAAATAACAGAGCTAAGAAACTCACTAGTCATCGTAAGGACTTAAATAGGGAATTGAAACATGTAAGAGAAGCGTTAATAGTTAATATTTATCCCTATCATTCTATTGAGAAATTCACACAAACACATAAGAAGCAAAATAATAACAGCAATACAAATACAAATAATAGCGACAACATAAGTAGAAAGGAAATCAACACCTCTATTGTGATATCATACAGGGAAGGAACATCAGAAACCATACGTAGGATTCTCAACAAGGTTGGAATTAGGGTGGCATTTAAACCTACAAACTCACTCAGAGGTAAGCTTTGTCGACTAAAAGATCCGATAGAACCAATTAGGCAAAATAATATAATCTACCAAATTCCATGCAATGACTGCGAGGTCAAACACACAGGTCAAACTAGCTGGTCGGCTCAATTAGATTGGCAGAACATAGGAATTTAGCTAAACATAGAACGACAGACCCCAATAAGATCAATAATCTAGAAAAACATTCGGCCATTGCATTACATTCATTAACACACAACCACACAATAGGGTGGGACAAAACCAATGTACTCGAGTCTAATATAGCTGGGTGGAGAGAGAGACTAACTACTGAATCTTTGTTCATCGAATTCACACCCAACACATGTAATGGGAATGACGCAACACCTATACCAGAGACATGGAAAACTTTAGTACCAATCAAAAAAACAAAGAAAAATCGGGTGACAGGACCATAAAATCAGATATCGAAAGAAGTGTGATTACATTGGTACGATTATGAGAGACAATTTATGATCGAAACGTCATGAAGTAAATAATACTGTATCACTGTGCGCTATATATGAAATAAACAACTCTAATATGGAATTGCATTCTACCAGATTGTATAAGTTTTACACTATATATGAAATAAACAAGTCTAATATTTAATCGCATCTCTAAGCCCGCTGGGTAGAAGACAAAGACGGTCACTCTTTCAGTAACTTTTGTAAGGTTTCTTCAGTATAGAGTAACGCACAAGTGTTGGTTTTGGCCACATTTGGCGTCCAGAAACGGAGCCTATTTAGGTGGATGGCAAAGTGTTGCTTACATTTTTAAAGAAGTTACCCGGTCCTGACTGTCCACACCCGTAATATGCCTTGTCTTCAAAGATGGCGGTGGGCAAATTGTTGTTAGCCAACTCCAGGTCACTTTGAACTGCATAGCGATGGACATACCGGGGAAGATAATCGGGGATAAATTACTGAGCTATGGGGAGCCGTATGGCTTATTGACATGGAAGCAACACAGGCTCCGGCCCAAATGCCCATGCCTATGGAATTCGCTTCTAGCGAGGGAAATATGGATAGAATTAGGAGATTGTAAATTGCCTGTTGGTAATGTGTTTACTGATTTTCGTAGGGCATTTGATCAAGTGTCTTACTTAAGCTAGCTGAGAAAACCCGTAGATTTTGTTATAGACGTCAGCATGCTAGGGTGGTATAGGCATTACCTGTATGATGGGAAGCAAAAAGTTAGCGCTAATGGAATATTATCTCGCCAAAAGCCGGGAAAGAGTAGGATTTCTCAGAACACTGAACTATGGTCATTTTTGCTCTCCCTCTATTGTTGGAATTACCAGATATGGTCACGTAATCATACCTGCTACTTTCAGATGGTGTTGGGGTTTGGAGGGTGATTCGTGATGATGTCGGGCAGTGGTAGACTAGACAATTAGGTCAGTTGACCAGATGGCTGAAACGTCGGCACCTTGAAGTCAAACCTAGCACATCGATCAGGAGACGTGCTACCCTTGTTCATCAGATGGGTCAATACTACCTTGTAATAGGGGCCAATCCATCTAGGGGCTGTTATTGGCCACAACATGGAAAAGAATGGCACACCGTCACACTACTGCAGTCGAGGCACTATGCACGCAGTGATCAGTCCATGAGGGGTTTTAAGCTGCTTGATGAAGGAAGATCTGGGGTACTCTACAACATTTGCGCAAAGCCTGACCCGGAATACTAATCACACGCAGATAGTTCTTGCATTAGGCAAGAAGCAGGCATTCCCGAACCAGACTAATGTCTTCCCTACGAAAGTGGTTTGGAAGTCTTACTGTAGGAAAAGAGGAGGTCTGATATTAGTGTACTGCATCGCAATTGATGGCTTGGATTTTGATATTGCTAGTTGCTCACGAGATTACTATAAAAATTTCATAAGTTAAAGTCCATTAAACTACAGAGGAAACTCATTCTTTCACAGGGCGGTCAAAGATAGGAACTCATTACCGGAACTTGCGATCGTTGAGCCCTTGACGAACGTCTCCACGGTGCGACTGGATAATCACAGAGACTTATGCCCTAGGTTTATTGCAGGCTACCCACATGTTTATTCCTGAACCTGAGAACAAACCAAGCTACAATTTGCAAATAAAATACCTTCAAATAGAAAATCATTACCTTCAAGCATATAAGCAGAAAAACGCAGGATTCTGCTACCATCGAAGGGGTGCAACCGAATGAAAAGAATCAAGCCTCAAGAACCAGAGGCCAGAGCTCACGAACTGTAAGTTTCCTCTAATCGCACTATTAATGTTAAACTAACATCTGAATTACGCTACCACAAATGCATAGCAAGCTGGGCAGTTTGGCCATTTAATTTCAGCGGTGACTGTTTTTTCGAAGTTTTGAGCAAATAACGAGCGTGAAATTTCATTCAATAACACTTGATACTTTGTCGACATGGAGTTTGAAAAAGTGAGTTTTAACACATATGCGAGGGAATTTGAGCCTGTCAAGGTCGCGCACTCGTTGGTTGCTTAATGATCAGGTTTAGTCCCCTGTTGTGGAGTTCTAAGGTGGGGCATATTTATATTGTATAGCTTTGCATGCGTTTGGACACTTCGTGATTTTAAGTGGTATTTGAGTGGTTAAACATTCCTCGTAAGCCATCCTATTATGTTATTTGCTCCTTTTTTCCCTACTAACTTCATGTTCTCACTATATTTAATAAAAGCTCTCCCTACCACACCTCTCCCGTGAATCTCCTGAGGTTTATTCGGTTACGTTCTCTTTCACCTAATCGTTTGGTTTCTTCGCACTTCCCCCTTGATTTCTTCTTCTATCTTGTTTTTACAACCAGTCCATCCAATTGTCTTCTAACACGACACTTGAGAAACCCATCTGCATCACAGTCCTTGTAAAGACTACACCCTGAAAATTTAACCAACACCCAACATCTTGTTGGTCTAACCTGAGCTACAGCAGTCGAATAGGCAGACCTACTGCATTGAGACTCACCAAAGACATGGAACCATTCCACAAGACCTAGAAGCAAGCGCAACGGAGTCATTTGGTTGGTGTTAGCTCGTGGAAGGATATTGGAAATATTGGCATTGGCGGCAGCGTGACGCGTATTTTCGGTGAAGTCAAGAGATCGCTTTTGCCATGCGGCCACAATCTTGCATACATCAAACTATCTTTTCGAACGCTTCAGTAAACACGTAAAATATCCAAACCATTTAATTGACAGCCATGTGTTAAGCAACTGTGTACAACTCGTTTCTGAGAGGCCTACTCAGTTACCCTAATATATTTGTGCTTTCAGTTCATTGGGGTAATTCTGGATTATCTTCCGTTAAATTCTACTAACAGCAATAATTACTTTAAACCCTATTGTGTATCTGGCTGCTTTGAGCGGCGTTACCAAAGAAATTAGGGGAGTAGGCTTTATTTTCAGCGCAGATCGTAATTTTACGAAATTAAGTTTGATCAGACATTTTCGAATGCATTTCATGCTTGATCGGTCAGAATTAATGGGTCTTTAGGGACTCAGGATGTTTGCGCTGGGCTAACGTGAAAGTAGGCTGATAGTATAGCGATATGTACCCTCTCCGGGTGTATCTATCAATGGTTTTCACCCTACCGGAAGTAGTAACAGGTTATTAGGAGAGTAAGGTTTTGGTAAATAGTGTGTGTGATTCTTTTAATGTCAAGTTTTTCAAGTAAATGCATTCATGAAGTTTTTTTCCATTAGAACTAATCTAAAGACTGGACTAGTGTATTGTTGAGTGCATTTCCATTTCCATGTGAACGTACGTATGTGGAGCTGTTGTTCATTGGTTTAGGCAGTTGACCTTCAATCATAGGTCCAAACCTGGCTTTGCCTATTTAGGTTTGGGTTACCAGGTAGTGACGTTTGCCCTCGTACAATTAGTGGTGTTCATTGTTTACTGCACAAATATATCATTGGTATCTGTATGCATTTTGGTTCGAGACATACACATGTGCAGGGACTCTACGTAAAATGCTTATGACTATGTTGAACAGTTACATGTCGCGTTCATTTTCAGCTTTCGGAAAATAACAGTTTCTGTTTCATTGACGTCTACGACCAGTTATTGTTTTTTCTGAAGATTATATATATATATATATATATATATATATATATATATATATATATATATATATATATATATATATATTATACGTGGATCCTTGTTCAAATGTTACATCGGAACAAATTTTATTTGTTGATACCATGGTTGTAGGGATTTGTTCACACTCATCCATCAAAACCGCTGTGCACTCCAAATACAGTGCTTTAGTTGACTGTTAGAAACTTGAGAATGCAAAATCTGGCAGAGCAATAATTACTAAGCAGTTTAAGTGAAAATCCTGGAGCGTTGTGTATGCGTCTAGAATTCTTATCGCAGTGTAGCAGCAATATTTGCATTTTCTCACATAGGTCAAGCTGTACAAGAAGTGCTTGAATGAATTGATTGCAGTGCCTTGGTAACTACACCGAATATGTTTGTGGTCCAAACAGAGATGCTTATTCCGTTAGTTTGCTTTCAAGCTGACTAGAGTTGAACACAAGGTATTTGGCTGACTGGTTAGTTACCGAACTTGCGTAAACTCTCGGTAGGTAGCCACATTGACTGTCTGGTTTCATTGACTCGACTATTTTCCTACTCTCTTTCATTCCAATATAGCAAAATTAAGGCCAATGGATATCGTTTTGAGTAGAAATTGCACCAGTAGTTGCAGCAGTATATATTTCTCTTAGGCAACCTGCATTTACAGTTCAGTCCTAATGTTCGCATGTCCTGCTTCGTCGTGATGCTGCCTATTGCTGTCAGTAGTTGGAATTCATGACATCGAAGAGATGTCTCGTTTAGTGATGCTTCCCAGGTGAACGACTTACAAATGCCTTTACAGTGGATATAACTAACTGTCTATTGCATGAAACTTAACGTGGTTGCTGAGTAGCATTTTAATTTTTCCTTATTAAACTGTAGATTTGCTTTTGTTTTCGATACGATTGTGCCTTTTGACCAACAGTTGAGAATCTACAATAAATGAGGTCACTAGTGGCTGCAATTTGCAGCCACTGGCTTTTTAAATTATATTGAGGTCTATATATTGTCATTGTAGTACACAACATTTTATAGATAGCTTTGTCAGAACCAATTCTAACTACAGGCTGCACCAAGTGTACTAGGTCAAAAAATTAAAATGAAGTGGACAATATTAATTGAGCTGACTGAGTTTAGCTAGTTTTCCTTTACAATAGTTTTATGTATTGTCTCAGTCTTCCGTCTTTGTGAGTCAGCGAATTATCATCCGTAGTTTTAAACCGATTTGCGTAGAACCATTATCTTAATATCCATATTCAATCCTAGTAATGCAGCTCCACGAGACATGTGGGTTGTTGGCTTACAGATTCAGCTTCTGGGAAATAAATCCTGAATATAAACCCCTCCAACCCCCTTTGGTCTGTGCAACTCATCATCAGTATCAACTCAGGACCAGGCATTACTGCGTAATAATCCGAGTTGCCACAGCTCAAATCAGTATATCAAGTAAGAAGACAGTGAAGTACAAGATGAAGATAAGAAAATCCAGTCAAAAGAAATATGAAGTACGAGAAGATAGAAAGAATGAATAAGAAAATGGTGAGATTCGGCATAGCGTCGTTAAGATGAGGATAATGTTTGTATACATATGCGCCACTGACATCGGTTCTGAACCATATCACCTAGAGTCTCCAACCACTGGTTCTTCTTGTCCCGCAGACCCCAACCGGGCTAGTCTACATCGCCCCACATGGCTCAAACCAACAGTCAAAGACTTCATGCATTGATGCCATGTTTTAGTCTAGCCACCTCGGGTCTTTTTCCAACCTGAACCTACTTCGGCTAACATTAACATTGTGTGACGAGGCAATCGATGACTAGGCATACGTAGTACGTGTTCCAACCATCTCAGTCGATGAAGGTTCATAACCTCGTCAACTGATTTACCCCTTCTCCTTAAAACTCTACACCTGACTTCTGAATTACTCACGTGGTGGCACCGCGGAATACGGCCTGTACTACGAAGACAACGGTGGTGAAATACCTGAAGCCAGCTTTCTCATGTCTTCCACCTTCAATGGCCATGTTACACAGACATACATACAGTAGAACAGAGTTGACTGCTGTGCAGTACACGCGACGCTCAATAGATAATCGGATATCACGGCGGCGCCATAGGTGACGTAAGTTAGCTAAAGCCAGCCGAGCCTTTTGTATTTGTGCAGAGATTTCATCGGCCACTGAGCTATTAGGGCCGATCCTATTTCCCAGGTAAGTGAAGTGGTCGACACACTCAATCACTACACTCTCTATTGTTAGCTGAGGCACCGTTGAAGACCAGTCCTGAAGCAACAATTTACATTTAGGTGATAAGAAACGCATCCCAAAAACATTCTCACGGTGTCTAGAAGACTCTGCATCTTGTCAGCGTCTTCACCTAACAGGACTATCATCCGCATATTTTAGGTCTAACGAAAATTCTCCACCGATTAGGTCAACCTCTGTGTAGTCAGGTGACAAGACGGAGACCTCCATAAGAATATCTATCATAAAATTGAATAAGAATGGAGACGGTTGTCACCATTGATGGACACCACTCGATGGGCATAGCTCCCTGGACATCTCACCATAGGCTTTGACACGCCCACAAGTGTTCGAGTAGAGAGCCTTCAATAAGGTGATGTACTTACTTGGCACCCCTTTCAGTGAGAGACATTGCCATAAGACTTCTCGATCAACGGAGTCAAATGCCGCCGCCTCCAGGCCGAGAAATACAGCTAGTGTCGGGCATCGGTTAGCGTCCATGTGTTCCAGAACCTGGCGGAGTGTGATTGTTTCGTCGATACACCCGCGGCCGGTTCTAAGGCCTGCATGGCTTTCTCGGGCTTGCTGTTTCCGAGCTCCACTTAGGCGTCGAAGAATTATAGAACATAGGATCTTGGACACCATGTTTGTCAGGCTGATTCCTCTGCGGTTATCACAAGATGACTTCTCGCCTTTCCTGAAGACTGGAATAATCAGTGATTTAGACCAGTTAAAGGGGATAGTATTTGATTCCCATATATTGGTTAACGCAGACGCAGACCTAATTCAGTTTGGAGCGTAAATATGCCTGCAGTTGAAAAGCTTTATCCATTTTATAAAAATCAGAGAAAACACCTCATGCTTGTTTATTATCTAAACCAAGGATATTTATAAGTTATTTGCCTTTTTGTAGAATCTCAAATCGTTTCTTCCATGGAGGTCAAGTAAACTGATACATACATCCTATCGGTTACGATTCCCATCATACTTCCGAGCTCAGGAGAAAAATTCACCCGATAAAACACGTACAGACGAGAGTGAAAAAAGTCAAGTACCTACTCACCGTAACTTTTTTTATACATTTATAAGGATTTAAACTGTTTTAGCTAAATTTGAATTCCGATTTTCTTTCGGTCAAAACAAATTACCTGATCCACCTGGAGGATGGTCCATAGCTTCTTGGGTTTTACTTGGTGCTGTTGGCTTAGCCTGGATTGTTTACTACAATATGTCAATGTACCATAAGGTTGATTGGAAGGAGTTCGTAGACAACTTGTTGCAAAAGTGAGATTTCATGACCATTTTCGTTACTCTGCTTGTCGTAATGGAATAACATTTCTTAGGTCGCAGCAGATTTTACCGACAAATGATTTGATATCCATTTTTACGGTTGCATTTATAAATTGTATTCAATTTGTCAGACTACGTTTAGTGGATTGTAAACAATATGTGCCAGTTATTTTGACGAGATGGATACATGGTTATTGAAACCTTTGAAACGTGTGGAATGCAAAAATCGTATGATACTCTCATTGTCAAACGAATGAATGAAAAGTGAAATTTTTGAGTTCCACTGAAATGATATTAATCAATAGTTACGGAAGTGGCCGGTATCAGAATTTTAGTTTTACTGATTGTCAATCTATAAATATGGGATCATAGTGAATACACTTTATATCTCATGTCTAAAACATGTTTGCTAACAGATTTGAGTTCCTACCAATAAGTTGTGATCGTTTGCTTCTCATTAATGTTATGTCTGAGTACTAAACTTGAAAGATGTGTAGTAGCTTGCACTATCTCCACCTTTTTTCGAGATATTTAGGTGTATGTCAGAAAGGGAAAGTAAATCTCATGTTTTTGGGAATTACAGTTCACAAAGCAGATTGTTTACATTTTTCCTGGAATATTTCCAAACCCTGGTGGGTTTTGTTATACCTCTGCTACTTTACGGGTTTCAGTATACTTTGCGATAAGAAATTGAAAGATTTCATTGAAACAACTAACCGTATTTAATAGCGTTATTGTATCACATGTATCATAATCGGAAGATATGGTCTCAAAAATGTCGCTAATGCTAGAAAGCAAATAACGTAACTCATCTGTCGGGTGCATATTTGTGTACTGCGCTATTAGCTAAACGTAATGATGTGAGAGCTGTCGCTTGGGCCGAAGTATGTGGAGTGAAATTCGAAACCAAACTCCATTGCTTGAAGGTCGAGTGGCTTAGCTGGTAAGCCACAGATGATGTAACCCATGACTTTGATAAAGGATATGTCGCACGTTACCCCAAAAACCAAATGTTACTGGTATCTGTCAGCCTGTTACTTGGTAATTTAGTGTCTACTTATTTGGTTACACATAAGTAGTGGAAGGTGCTTGTTTTCATTAGTACATTCTTTTATTGGCTGCTATAGTACGGTATGTGAGTGAAAACAAGCTAACAAGCTCATGCAATAAATGAATTTGTAAGAACATGAAATATTTGTTATATTACAAAGTCAAAAACTGCACTGGTGAAGTTTTGAAAAGCGTAGTGACAAGGTCCTCTAAATTACAACAAAAGTGATGCAAATGATGCTTATCCATATCATACTAAGATACAAATGCGTGTGCGTTCTAACCTCATGACCTTTATTCAGTTCAAAAACACAAACTCATGAGGTGTCACACTCTCCTGAAAAGGTTGATGTATATTTTAACTCCAAGTCCGCTGACCTAATTGGAAAGATAAAAAATACAAACTATTCAAATGAGATTCTGCATATTTTAGGAACTTTATGCCGCGCAACTGAAAGTTATTATTGTTGCTGCATCTGCACCCACTAGCCGTTCTTTGCAATTAGAAGTTGCTTATCTTGGCTACATCACCCTTTATTTTCTTATTTTTTCAATAAGTTCTTTTCCAGTTTATGTCGTTTAGTGTTATCAACTGTAGAATACCTTACCAAGTTTGTGTAAATGAACGCAATGAATTAACACTGTGATTATCTCCTTGAAAATCTATAACTTCTTTCGTGTTGTTGTTATATTACCTATTTAGGGGTGTTATTCATCATCTGGAAGTTGTGAACAAATCTTGGGTAAAAGTTCATCTCCAACCAGGTACCAGTTTCGAATCATATGGGTCCAGCAGTCTTGGAAAGAAAACCTTCTGGTTTGAAATTGGTTCAGTTGACTCTTTCGAGCGAAGTCTACGTGATATGGAAGCACACATGGGCGTGGATCCTATGCATAGAACATTTATAACATACAGTACTCGCTTGAAACTGTGAGTTACACTCATTCAATGACCATTATTATTTCCCTATGAAATAAAATTTACGTATATTTGCGCTGAAACATTGAAGATATAACGGTTTGTTTTAATAGTTTGGTAGGGTTGTTTGTTTCGAGCAAATGTTTGCTGAGCTTGAGAAACATTGTCAAAAGTAATAATACTAGTTACAAACTCTTTTAATCTCCATATCTTTGTGTTTCGAGTGTAAACGTTGTGTGATGGAGTGTGACTTGACACAGGAGGTATGATTTGTGTGAACACAACAACATTCATTCCTGCGAATATACTCAATGATTATTGGGTAAACAAACTATACTTATAGTTCGTGGTCAAAACTAACTAGCGAATCATGTCAGTTTCACTTTTATGATTCATAATCATTTCAGCCTAAATAGTCAAACGGCTCGAAATAATTCACTCTGTTCTTTGTTTCCATTGTGATATTCTATCTGCCTTTGTTGCATCTGTTAGTTAGTTAACTGTATAAAACGAAGTGCATCCATTTTCCATCGAAATAAATAGGTTGTTGTCAATAAAACCTTTATATTTCTCCCATTCATTCTAAAATAGAATGTATCTTGAAATTGAATTTTATTTAGAATGTATCTAATAATTTCACTAGTTTTGGACATTGCAACAAATTTATTTCCAAGTTGCACACTCATTTAAAGGTGGTTTATTCGAGGGACTAACCTGCTAGGAGATGCAAGAAAAGGGTAGAAGTCAAGTCATCACAGTGGCAGCAGGAGTAGCCAGGATTAATGATACAAATCATAGTCGTCAATGTTAGATGTGAATAATACTCGCAACTTCTACAATATGTATGAAGCTCAGATACAAATTTCTAAGCATTTCAATTTCTAGCGAAGTTAACTGGCTGTTCGTTCATCTTGCTTCTATCGTAACAAAGCTAATCATCTGGAATTTTGATCAACCTCTAAATAAATGTAGTAAGTTCGAGATTACTGTCTTAGTGTAAAATAAGTGTATAGCTGTCTCATTAATTTTGAAAGTCAGCTTTGGACCAAAGGGTTACGGATTCAAACCCAGATCAAATGTTTAAGTAACCATATTCTACCATCATTCCTCATACAATGAGCGGGATTCATTATTCAATGCAGAAATCCCCACGTGATTATCGCGTTAAGTTAAGCATAATGAATGCAGTTAGTCATCTTAATATACAGCGTGTTTTGCAATTTCTTTCTAAAAGACTTCAGCTCTGCCTCGCAGTGTCAGTCTGCTGAAAATATCTGAAAATGTTAGTGCAGAGTAGAGGTCGGTCACTATGGGGCATGATTCCACATTATTTGACTTATTCGGATGTAGTACGCAGTTACAGCGTTATCTGAGTGACGTTTCAACCACTATTTATTGCTATTAATCATTCCAAGGTAGTTACATAACTTTTCGAATCCAATTTTTACTCATGACTATGATATTAATTCTCCGATTTCCGTGACGGAAGAATTTTCCGTACGGTTAGAGTTAGTGGAAAATTTGTTGAATTCAAGATTCTGTTGCCAAAATTAGATTTTGCAGTTTACCGAATGCGATGTTGTAACTTATTGGTGAAAAACAGAAAAATAGCCTATCTCAGCATAAGAACTGAATTCGGTAGGCTTCAGTGAGATGTGTAGCGAAAAGATCAGCCTTTGGTATATAGTTTGGAAGGCAATAGGGTACGACAGAGTAACAGTCTTCATGATCAAAAAGTCAAGTATGCTGGATGGTTGCCTTGGAAACAGCACACGCATGAGAACTAAACAAATTTTATATCTGGTTGTGAATACAGTCACTTCCGCTTTCATCCAGGTCTTGGGGTTGTATAATTTGGTTGTAAACGTCTGTGTCGGTGAGGGATGTCCCCTCTCATTTTTTGTCGCAAACATACTTATTGAGGTAAGTCTCTCGCCTAACTGTCCTAACTGACCTTGTCACTGGAGACTCTTTGACAGACCTGGAGTATGCAAATCGCAGTTTTGTTAAATAGGGATTTTGGCAAGATGTGGACACCTTGTGCGGCCAGGGATCCGTTTCTTACCATTCAAATACAAATTGTTGCTTCAAGACTCGTCTATTTTGGTGATTTGTCTAACAATAGAGAGTGAAATGTTTGAGCGCGCTGATCACTTTAATTACCCTGGAAGTCATGTTAACTCCACTGGGTCAGTGACCGGCAAAACCTCCGTATTGATGCAAAAGGCTGTATTGGTCTTCGCCCATTTCTTCCATTTATGTAGCCACTGTGATGTCCGATTGTCTGTTAAGCGCTGTGTACTGCGCTTCGGTTTGCTATGTTCTATTATATGGTTGCGAAATACAGTCAGTAAAAGAAGCGGGCATGAGGGTGCTACAGGTGGTCCACTATCGTTACCTTCGTAGCATAGATTATGCGTCTTGGTGTCTTCACATCAGTAAGGTAATCAGGCGTAGAGTTTTGAACAGAAGAGAAACGTTTTTAACGTTTTTAATCTTCATCGACTGATGTGGCTAGGACATGTGCTACGCATATTTATTCACCTCCTACTTCATCTCACAATTTTGGTCGAAGTAGGTTTAGACTAGAATTAGGTTAGTGCTGGTCAGACTAAGCATGGGACCCTTGCACGAAGTTTTTAACTGCTAGTCTGAGCCATGTAGCGAAATATAGATGTCCCGGTTATGGTTTGCTTGACTAGAGGACTTAATGTGATGTGACTCAGTCGATCTCAATAACTCAGATGCATCTACACATTATTTTCTTATTGATCGTCATGGTGACTATTTGGACTTCTTAATTATTACTTCCCTTCTTATGGTTACTTTGTTTTTGATTTTCTCATCTTGCACCTATGTGTCTTTCACCTCGATGTGCTGATGCCAGGTACGACAACTTGGACCGTTACGTAGTAATACCAGGTCCCATGTTGATGCAAACTGGCTAATGGGGCTTATTCCAAGCTTTACAGCCATTTTACTGGAAGTATCAATTAATTAACCTAATTGTTATTGCTTGCATTATCCCATCGTTGATTAGACCGGATTGATTGGTCTTTATCGGTATATGGGCTCCTGTGGCGATGGCCTAATGTGCCTGTGTTTCAATTATATATTAATGATGGATAGTGGCCAACAGTGGAGTCTAGGACTCGCGTTTCGTCCCATTTGGGACTCATCAGCTGGATGTGTTTGCCGATCAGTTTGTCAACCAACGGCGGGATAATACAAGCAGCAACATTAAAACTATACCCGTCACACTGGAAGTGGTTATCTTGGCTCCGTGATCTAGTGGATAACGCTCTGGCACTTAAAGCCATCGATCCCGGGCTCGAGTCCCAGTGGGGACAACATCACCCACCGGGAGGCAGGTGCATCCGGCTGACGAGCCCTAGATAAGTCGAAGCGTGCGTCTTGGATTCCACTGCTAGCCACTCTCTGTCATTAGTAAATTAACCTAACTGTTTGACTATTGCCTTTATACTATCAAGCTTCAAATTTGTTTAGTCGTTCAACATTAATGTGGTACATACAGTATATGCGCACATTTTTACTTTCAATACTTTGGATTCATTTCTGCAGTTATTTCACCTCCTCCTCTTTTGAAGTATATGTGCAATGTTATGAATTGCATTTTAAGTGCCTACTCTGTATTCATCACTTACCGAAACACACCATTTGCAAAAGTCGGGTTGGGATTAGTTCTAGTTCGTTTGGCGTGCCTTTTGCACCCGTCAAATGTAAAGTGATGCTTCAGGAATGAACTGCACCAACTCCTAGTTTTAGAATAAGGAGCAAAATGGTAGAATGCCTTGGCCATTTCACTTACTTAGGGAGTTACATCAACTCGGAGGGGTTGGTTGCTGACTAAATATCAGCTTCCTTTGAAATTTACCATCTTTGGTGTCGGTGGGATATCTGACTAGCTGTTAGAGGATGAGTATACTGCTTTGCAGTTTGCTCTATCCTATCATACAGCTATCAAGCATAACTGTTGAAAGTATAAGATATGAAGAGATTACAGGTTTTTAACAAAAGTATTGCTCACACATGATGGAATTACGATGTTAGCAAAGTTGAGGTTAGGTGACGAGCACTAGACAAGTCAGTTGGTGGAACTGTAAACCTTCAGTGGCAGAGGTGGCTGGGAAATGGGTTGTGCATCCCGAACTACTGAACACTTCTACGTGTAATGTTAACTAAGGGAAGACTGGCTTTAAAGGTGGCATAGAGTAACCATATCAAGATATGATGTCAGTCTTTTAATTATCTAACTGCTGGTTTGAGTTACGTAGGGAAATTTAGACTTCCTAGTTGGAGTCCACGTGACGCCAGAAACCCAGTGGTTGGAGAACCCAAGTGATATGGGTCATCAGTCTCAGTGGTGCAGATTTGTGTACATATCTTCACCGTAATCCTCATATTCAACTCAGTATTCTTTCATTTCATCTTCCTCTATTTTCACAACCTTCTATGACTTTTGACTGCTTTCTTTTTCTGATTGTCTTTCGTCTGAGTGTATTCCCGCTTGATGTACTGATGTAAGGTGTTGCACCTTGGGCTGTTGCACAGTAATATGTGTTGATATTATAATATGTTGATATTATCTGTTTATCTAGGGACAGAGTACTAGGCAATGCATGTAAGTCAGTCGGTGAAGCTGTGAACGCTCGGCTACTGAGGTGACTTAGGCATATGTTGCGCATGCCGAGCCACCTTGTACTTCACCGTGTTATGTTAGTTGAAGTAGGATTGAATTGGAAGAAAACTCATGGTAGTCATACTAAAACATGACAGTAGTTCGTGAACTTTTTGACTGTTGTTCCAAGCTGCGTCAAGGAGTGTGGATTGCCCGGTTGGAGTCCGTGAAGCGATACGAACCAATGATTGAAAAGTCCTGTCTACACGTTCGAAAATCAGTTACAGTGGTGCAAATGTATTCGCTCTTTGATATCTTCGAAAGTTTGAACATTTCAGATACTTTAAAAAAATACTCTTTTATTTACTTCAATGTCACTTTTTTCCAACCAATTTTTCTTTGCATATTTCTGTTTTTTGTGGTATCTCAAACCGATGCACTTCTGTGCAAGGTTCTCTTTGTATGTTAACTATCCACAAAATCTTCCAACAGATTAATGGTATTGATCAGGTAAAGTCCAGAGAATTGCCACATTCTGATCCTTTTTATAAGAATCAGAAACAGCTTACATGAATAGCTTAACATTGAAGAGCTTTGATAAGTAAAGCCTCTTACCCTGTTTAACATAGAGTTCGCATGTTGAGGGCTCTTGTGTGAAATTGATGGCATGATTTTGGGAGACTAAAAGTGGCATTTTACTGGCTTAGGTCCTCAGCTCTGGTCATAGGGCAGGCAGTTGAAGAAACTATTAGCAGTTTGGTGTTGGAAGTAGAAACTTTTAGTAAAGGTGATGAAACAGAAAAATGTAGAACTGTTAAACCGCGGTTAATTATGTTCTGTTTATGAGTGGAAGTGTGTTGGCCGTTTCTACTTCCTGACTGCATGTACCATAGTACTTGGTCCTTTGTTTAGTGCCTGGAAAACTGCTTTATTCTTACTTTTCCACAGGGCCCATGGGGCATCTACTTGATGTAGGCTACACATGGTCATTTTGTGATTTTTGAATTTGGATCTGATTGTACTGTATTTAAGCCATAAAAGCCTGTACCGTTAACACTTAAAGATTGCTGGGCGGAGACAAGTGTGCTATTTTAGGACTGCAGTGCTGTCAAAATCCTTGCATTCGGTAGTATGCGACTTCGCCATCCGTCTGCGCCATAGCATGTTCTGCTCACTCTGGAAAGGTAACCGGTTTTTGTTCTACGACTGTCAAATAGACCTTTTTGGTTTACTTATACTCTATGAAATACTCATTCTGGCGAGCATGGCTCATCGGGTAATCGCGATAGGCATGTCTGACTGCTGTGTTAAAGTAACAACTGCTGGTCGAATTTCAAATCGATAACTTAAATATTTTATGCTTGGAGCAAATGACAAATGAATTGGTTTTGTGAAAGTTATTAGTTGTCATTAGGCTCTGCATTCATTGAAGTTATGATTTACAAACCAAGTAAAAAATCAATGATAATTACTTTTAGATGTCGAAAAGCACCAAACGCATTCAGAAATTTTTTCTCCATTTGCTTATGGTAAAATTTAACCATTTTCTACATTTATGTCGCTCATAGTTATAATTCATCTTTTTCTTATTTGTAGATCAGACTTTTTGTATGGATTAATTTACTTTATTATGGTCTCATTGACTGTTTATTCTCTACGCACATTAACTGGCGGTGGCGTACGTAAAGTGAGTATCAATCACATTATTTCGTAGACATTTGACCTATCACCTCAGGAGGTTGATTTTGAAGCAGTGACTCTGCCTACTTCGTCCTGAGTGACCGGGTGGTGTAATAAGACCTCACAATGATTTGAGATGGTAGCCTAGTGCATTAACAATCACTTTCATGATGAGTTTGCTTGGTACTGTGGCATATTTATTGGCGCTCATGTCGTAACAAGTTAGTGTCTGAAATTAAAGACGTTGAAAACACCTGTTTCTCAAGCATGGGATTTTAAAACCCATAGTCCTGAAGTCATCTATCGAAGCATTAGGGTCTAAACCCTATGTCATCCGCTTCAGCTTGAAGTACCTCTCACAAGTTATTTTGATAGTCTGTTGGTGAAATAGTTTTCAAAAATGTAGAAATACAATATGACTTTCTCACTGTCAGCTTATGGTTACCATTGCTAAACCTGAGTTTCAACTGGTACGTAAGCAACTGCGATGCTAAATGACTGAAGTAATAAGCAACATTTCAAATCATCCACCTTTGAGGTAGAAGTTTTCAAGCTTAAAATTGTGGTTTATGCCACAGTATGTACAGAGCAATCTCATGGGATAGTGTGGCGTTTCCTTGAGCTAGTGAAAACAGCACAATTAGTTGTCCTCGTCTTTTAATCTTAGGTATATATATATATATATCGATAAATACGCAAATTGTGTATTTTTACCTAATAAATGTTTTCGAAACCACGTGGTAACCTCCATGGGTTGACATTTTCTTGACTAGGTGGAGGGTGAGATACTGTAGAGAATACTCTTTATTTCTTGTAAAGAAAAAGGATTATTCAAATACTCGAATACTTTCAATTGTTGTAATCATTTATTCTCTTTAAATATTTAGCCAGGGATCGGTTCAGGATTATTCAATTTTGCTCAGTCACCTGTGCGTCTAATAGAAAAGGATAAATTGGTGTACGCTTTGCTGATGTAGCAGGTTGTGAAGAAGCAAAACTTGAAATAATTGAATTTGTGAATTTTCTTAAGAACCCAGGAAAATACGAAGCACTAGGAGCGAAAATTCCCCGTGGTGCTATTTTAAAAGTCAGTATGCTTCACTGAAATGCGTGTAATGTTTTCTTCAGTAGTCTGTTTAGAAGTTTTAATATTCATGATTGTTTATCGCATTTTAGAATCTTACAACTCCATGCATTTGTTGAGATATTTTAATCGCAGTCTAGCTATTTTTTATTTATACTAAAGGACGTGTTGACGTGTAAAGATAAAAGGTTATCTCTATCATGGTTATTGTCACTGGAGTATATAGTTGTTCCATTTATGATAACCTCCCTGATAATTTCCCATATATATATATATATATATATATATATATATATATATATATATATATATATATATATATATATATATATGACTTCAACTAAACCATGAACAATGAATCACTACCTGTCAACTCTCAACCATTAATGATGACAACTGGGCTGAATAGTTTGTTAAGCCAATCAGAGTATTTTGAATTTGGGTTAAAAGTGTTGCTTATGTGTTTTTTTCCATAGTCCATAAGAACGAGATTAACAAAAAAGGATATTAAAAAATGCATCAGTGCACAGGATGAGACTACTTCTTAAGTCCCCAAAACAAATAATAATTACTGCGGAGTATTTTGACTCAAGAAAACAGATATTCAGATTTTGTAGGATCAACAAATACAATCAAGGAATACTGTACTTTACACACAAATGCATTCTCCATTCCACATTTCACTGAGCGTATTTTATATACTGCAGCAACAATTAATTACTATTTAACTATCTTTTGAGTTTAAGCCTATAAAATCTCTAGAAAACGTCCATATGCTAATTTTCATTAGCAGGATAAGAGATGCATGAAAGTTTTACAATGATTCCAAATTTCTGCTATACGCTTGTACTCAGAACTGAATGAAACAACTTCATATAGGTTCGTTTAGCTGTCGTTACATTTAGTTTGTTTCTCCACAGGTAATGATTGGGATTTCAGTAGTATTGCTATGAAAATGAAACTGATTTGTGTGTTTACGTGATTTATTCTTAGTTTTGATTCTAACAACTGCTAACTGTTGCTTTCAAACCTTATTTTTCTTTTTATAGGGTCCTCCTGGTACTGGAAAGACGCTTTTAGCTAAAGCAACCGCAGGAGAAGCAAATGTTCCATTCTTATCTATATCTGGTAGTGAATTTCTGGAGATGTTTGTTGGTGTTGGACCTAAAAGAGTACGTGATATGTTCACTTCTGCTCGTGAAAAGGCTCCATGTATACTTTTTATTGATGAAATAGATGCCATCGGTGGAAAACGTTCTGGATCAACATACGGTCATCAAGAAAGGGAAAATACCCTAAATCAGTTACTAGTGGAAATGGATGGTAATTTTCATATTATTGACATTTTTATATATCACTTCCATAATCGTTGTGTACTAAAAGAGTGTCGTATTTATTGCAGTAAACAGGTTTCCATTAGTAACTAACTTGTATTTAGTATCCTAGATTGTTTATATACATGCATAGAATGATTAAAAATATCTGAGATACAACTGAGATACAAACTGCTCTTTCAGCACCTTGAATTATGTTATCGTTAACACCGTGTCATTTCAGGATTTTTCAAATCAAAAATCGGAGTTCTCCACCTGTGTTACGACTATTTTGAATGCGTTAAAAGAGTTTACTTAAGTTTTTGCCCCTTTTATGAGCGAATGGTTGAAGATGAAGAAAGAGAGTCTCTTAAATCAACAATCTTTCTTTTAGAATTCGAAACTGTCTTTACTTTCGGGGAAAGCGTACATGTGAGTGGTGGAACTCAGCATCCACATGCAGGTTCGTGAACTACTCATTGAACCGCATATTGTGCGTCAAATAATGATATCCCAGTTATTTAAACGTCTGTAATTGGATTTGCGTTCAAATTCATGTAAGCTAATGGTTGGTATTTGACTATCTAGATTAATAATGCATAGATTCTCACCGAATAGTGCACTTATCCATACGCTTGTATTCAACAGGTCAGTCAAGAAAAAAAACTCAATAGCTCAAATCTTTTCATTCGAGTTTTGATTGTTGCACTTAAGTCATTCTTCAATCACTGGTTCCTTTAACGAATTTTGCTCAAACAAGACCATAGAATTCCCAATATTTCCTTGCTTTTGATGAAGGGTTTTGCAAAACTTGTTGTTACTTCGCTGTCTGTTATCCTAAACTACACAAGCTGTCAAGTTAAATAAAGATGGGTTGTTCAAGTTTTCATCGCAGTTTCTTAAAAACATCTTCCTAACGAAAGTAAACCGAGAGATATGCCTTCGTGGAAAATTCTGGCGTATCACCAAAGTTATTTGTTACGTTCTGTGTTGTCTACCAGTGACTTCAGTTTTATATGTGTAACCTTGGGGAACCTAATGCAACAACTTATTCATATTATTGCACTTTTCGATTCTTTTCTCTTGATGATATATTTCTCATTTGTTTAGTTCTTTCAATAAATCATAACACCTTGGCTAGTGAATTAAGGTTATTCAATCTGTGTATGTATGCGTGTATTTCATGATACAGATCAATTCACGAAGTGTACATTTTTCTCCGACTAATTACTTAAAGGATTATTATTAACTTATACATAGATGATCGTGTTTAATTAATAGTGCTAATTTGAGTATGAGTACGTGCGTTCCACCCTGCTTAGCGGTCATGGTTTTGCAATTTACAGTTTATTCAACTTGCAGAAGAAGAATAATTTTTTTGATTTCACTTTATTTGATAAATTGTGTAAAATGAAGAAAAGCATGCACGATGTATGCGTATATCACCCGTGATTGTTTACTAGAGTCAAGAAAAACGGTGTCAATAACACTTGTACATTTATGCTCCCTAAAACAGTTAGTGGGAATTTGATACAATAAAAAGTATGGTGATTTGATTGGTTGTGGCTAGCAGAAGAATCCAAGATGTGCGTTTCGTCCTATGTGGGACTCGTCAGCTAGATATACCTGCACCCCAGTGATGTTGTTCCCACTGAGATTCGAACCAATAGAGATCGAACAATTAGATCCAACAAAACGACGGAAAATAACAAGTATATCAATAAATAGTAGCAAAAAGTATGATTATATTATCAAAACCGTGGATATAACAGATATTCTGTTTTATTTCATTTCCTTCATGAACAAAACATTCAGTTAGACTAGCGAAATAATCAAGCGTTTACGATACGTAGTGTCCTATTTTTATAAATATCTAAGTAAGTGTGGCATAGGTTTCGTAGTAATCAAATGTAGTATAATGCTGTATGATCAGTTCCTTTCCCAACTTTGGGATAACGAACAAAGCAGTGGTAGGTCTCCGACCATAAGTGTTTCAGTAGCATTGTCTGCAATGTGGTGGCGAGTAATGTTCTAGTTGTGGAGTGTAAGGTAGGGAAGGCAAATCAGCTAATTTTGGAAGTCTTCACAAATTGCTGGTAAAACATGTTATGTATACTGAATCACTTATCTTGGTATATCCTTTAAGCTGAAGTAGGTACGGGTCTATGCAGTCTCTGATTGCTCATCTAAACTATGTAGGCTGTCTGCCCTTGGTCGTCCAAATGCTGAAAACCAATGACTAGATTCCTCTCACTGATCGGCTCAAAACAGATCATAACAGCATTGATGTATTTGCTGTTTATCACTTTAAAAATTTCGAACTTTATCACAAACTTTCATCCGCTTATCCTCTCTCTCATCTCTTTCATTGTTTGAATAGTCATTTCTGTTCATTTAGTCTCTCTATGGTGTTGTGAATTGTAGCTTTTCGAAGACACTGATATATTTCCATACAAGGTTCTTCGTTGACTTATCTATCTGGTTTGTATAGCACTTATCAAAGTGGATATATTTCGAAAAAGGATAACAAGAACAGTCAACCCAATTTATTTTTCCTTTGGGTTCCTAGTGGAACATAGGGCTTCAGTAGCACGCCTACATTGCACTCTGTTCTCTGGAGTATTTTGAACCTGGCGCCACAGCTGCCCACAAGCTTTCATTTCTTCCTCACATGATCTCCACGTCACCATCAGACGCCCAACTCGTCGTTTCCCCTTGGGATTCCACTCAAGGGCCCGGCACATGATGTCCCCAGTCGGCCTTCTCAGTGTATGCCCAATTCATCTCGACTTTCTTCTGCATATTTGTTGGGCGATAGGTTCTTGGTTGGTTCGTTGCCAGAGTGAGTTCCTTGTTGCTTATTCTTTCTGGCCATCTGATCCTCAGTATCGAGCCAGTCTAGGCAGCTGTTGATGAATGTCTGTAGTTTGTTGGAAATCCCTTTCGTAACGCGCCGTCTCTGAACCATACAGAAGCACTGACTTGACGTTTATGTTGAAAATCAGCATCTTGTTCCACATGCTGAGTGCAGTAGATCTCCACACTTGTTTCAGTTTAATGAAAGCCTGTCTTGCTTTTCCGATCCTGGTTTTGACATCCTCGTCTATGCCGCCTGTAGTTGAAACGATGCTGCTCTGCCTAGGTAGGTGAAAAACACTACTTCCTTTAAGTTTCTTCCGTTGGTGTTGATTGATGCTTGTTGCCGATGCTGTTGTCGGTTGGGTATCTTCATCACCTCTGTCTTCTCTATATCCACTTGAAGTCCCGTCTTCGCTGCCTCTTCTGTCAACTTGTTGGATTTTGCCTATAGATCTTCAAGTTTGTGTGACATTAGATACAAGTCTTCGGCGAAATCCAATTCTTCTAGGCTGTTTTCATCGGTCCAGCCAGCGTATGTCCATCTTCTTGCTCCTCACTGTTCGCTGCATGACCCAGTCAACCACAATCAGGAATATCATGGGTGATAGTAGACGGCAGCCTTGTCTTATTCCTGTCTTCACTTCACAGGTGTCACTGAGCTTTCCATTGTGGATAACTTGGCATGTGGCGTCGTTATATAGCTGTTGAATGAGGTTGATAAAGATTAGTGGCACTCTGTAGTGTCAGTCGACGCTGTCGAAGGCTTTTTGAAAGTCGATGAAGTTGAGGTAGAGAGTTGACTGTCATTCTATACTCTGTTCTATGATGCTGCGTTGTGTTGCAATTTGATCCGCACATGATTTGTTCTTCTTAAAGCCAGCCTGTTCCGGTCGTAATTTTGAGCTCAAAGTATTGTTTAGTCTCTCCAGGATGATGCAGCTTAGATCTCCCTTCTTTGGGAGTTTGATAAGGTAGCCACTCTTCCAATCGTCAGGTACCTGTCCCTTCTTACTTGCAAACCTTCCTCACTAGTGGTGTGAGCATGTCCGCTGCTGACGTCTCTGCGTCTGTTTTCAGTACTTCTGGAGGAATTCCATCTGGTCCTACTGCTTTCCCGCATTTTAGCAGCTTTATGGCGTTCAGGACTTCACTTCGCCTTTAGTCGGATGGCTTGTGTTCACTTGTAATTCTGTGGCTGAGCTGCTGTTGGTATTCTGAACTAGTTGCAGCTGGTGGTGGTGGTGGTGGTCAATTCGAGAGTTTTCTGAAGTGGTCAGCTCATCGTTTCCCTTCTTTCTCCTCTTCGGTATCTAGGTTCCCTTCACTACCCCTCATTGGTTTCATCTGTGTTGATCTCTCCCCTCCCTGATAGTAACCTGGTCATTTGATATAGTGTTGTCACGTCTCTGTCTCTCCTACCAGCAGCCTGTTATGCTTCCTTTGCCAGTGTGTCATAGAAGTGTCGCTTGTGTTTCCACGCACTCTTCCTCACTTCCTTGTACAGTGTAGTGTTTTATACATTGTACTCAGTTCCTCTTCTCGTTGTTCATCCTTGCACTGGTTCATCTTCTGCTTCACCACCTTCCTCTCCCTCCTCTATCACCTTCCATGTGTCCGTCGACATCCATTCCTTGTCTTGCTTTTTCCCAATTCCTTCCTTCCTAACACGGTTATGCAGGTTTCTTTCCACGTCTCTTTCACACACTTCCAGTGTTCTTCCACACAGGTTTCTTCAGAGATGTCACTCAATATTTCCCATTTTGTCCTCGTTACTGATGTGAAGATTTCCTTTGTAGTTTCGTCCTTCAGTTTCTGTTCTGAGTGTGCAACTTGCACTGTGGCCTGTCACCAACTTCCGTGAAGGCTTTCAACTTGGTTTTGAAGTTAGGTTCCTTGCACTAGATAGTGGTGTGAGTGGTACTCCCCTTCTTCATCTGATCTTGTCTCCAGTAGGCTGCTTCTCCACTCTCTTCACATTCAGATGAAGTCGATCTGACTTTCAGAGTAGTGTGTCCTTGTGTCTGGTGAATTTTATGTCGCCGCCTTGTGAATATCCTTGTGTTTGTACACACTGCCTCACCTCACCTCACGTCACCTCACCTCCAATCACCAAATCACTGAATGCACAGAAGTCTGCCAATAATTCTCACTTCTCATTCATCAGCTCGGCGAGTGCTTCTCAACCCATGGTTAGTTCTCTTCCTGTGTTGTCTGCTCCCAGTTTGCCATTCATGTCACCCCACCCATCAGAATGAATTTTGATGTAGCCATCGCCAACTGGGGTGGGGTCTTGTCCAGTACTGATTGCAGTCGTCTAGAGTTCCTGCATATCTTCCCATCTCTTTTGCAATCTGGGCAGCCTTACCAGCCAGCTTCAAATATTGTTCGGACATTCCATGTCCCCATCCTTACATTCGGTTTCATCGAGAGAAGACACATCGGCCAATTGGCTTCCCGAAGGCTTTCACCAACCGGCGTCATTTCGTCTCTCCGATTCCAGTAAGGAATAAGTTTATCTTTATTTTTTATATTTTGTTTGTGCTTTATAGTTTTCTTTAGCGATTAGATTGAATTTACGGGGTAGGGTTGCTAGCCTTATTCCCAACCTTCCCTGTTTATCGGGGCTTATGACCGGCTAGTAACTAGTAAACTAGTTAATCAAGCGACCCATAACCTCTTCAGTTTTCGCATGTTAATGTTTTAGGAATTATAGTACATAAATGATGTCATCAGAAATTCTCATTTCCTGGTTAACAATTCATGTTAAAATTACTCGCAATAACTCAAGTTAACTAGCTGTACAATGTATGTATTAGCGATATAAATACTTCTGCTTAATAGTCATCATTTTCTATCGTTGTATTTATTTCAAAAGACCGTAGTCTGAGTCGCATTTATTGTACATTCACTCAGAAGAATTAATTTGACGAGAGTTAAGGGTAAAGGTTCCCAGACCAACACACGACAGAAGTTCATGCAGCCTTTTGGAGGATATATCGGCTTCTTTGTTGAAGTCCACAAGTCAGCCGAAATAGATTTTTGGAGATAGTTCTCTGGCTCAAAATAGATGGCACTGGGACAAATGCACTTTCATGTCTTATCTTCATGTAAATTATAGCATCATATATCTCTAGTCTCATCTCATTTTTTGTCTTTTGCCTTTTTTCTTAGCATTCTTTTATTTTGTCACGTCTCTTTATCTACCTTGATATGTTGTTACGAGTTGTAACAACTAGCAAGATTACTCAGTAATATGAGATACTATATTAATACGGGACAATATTCGTAACAAATACACAAGTCACCAAACCCAGCATTTCAAGATCACTTCACTTAATGAATTACAGTCTCCAGCATCCCAGAGCATGTGCTCCCTTACCACAGAATTATTTGCATAATCTTTCCACTAAACTTTAGCAACCTTTCAGAATCAATGGTGATCAGACACAAAGTTGTCATACATCTGCGGCTTGAAAGGGTTCGGTTTCGTGGGTGTGTAACTGAACGATCCATGGCAATGCGTCATAAATCCAACCTCGTACGTCACAGTTGGCCTCACGATGACGATGAACCTGATTTAGATTAGTGTCTGGTGCTCTGCCTTTCCATATGCGGTTGGAAATTTCTTCAGTCACACCACCAGTACTCATGTAACTAAACAGGTTCACAAACTCTAGGCAATTCACCACCGAGAGTTAGAGCAGGTACAGGCTCTTGCCAATGTTGCGAAAGTATTGTACAATTTGACTGTGAAAATTACGTAGTACATTCACGGTACTGGTTGTCAACTGAATAATTGCTGTTTTACAGTAGAATAAACTGTCCGTATGTTCAGTTTTCAATCTGGTAGCAGATTCATATCATCACAAAATGCTACCACTGTAAAATTTCATCGATGGAAAAGTTGGAAAGACATGGTGAAATCGCATAGTTATGCATAATCTAACTACTAGTACCAGACAGTGAGTATTTGTATGCATTCACTCTCTGAGATGCTTTTGTTTTCGGTTTCTAAGATGTTAACAAACTTCTCAGGGACGCGCGTCTCTAAAAGACAAGAGCACATCCCTGTCCAACGAATCGAAGGCAACTTTATTATTGGAAAATACGATGATTGTATTTTTACAATCAGTGTGACAGTGTTCGAGCATCCGACGGACAGTGAACATGTGATCAGTGCATCTACAATGTAAACAAGATGCGGTCTGCTCCTCACGGATCAGATTTTCACGTTTCTCAGAGCCTGTGAATTATAATGGTATCCACTGTTGTAGTAACAAGCAGTGACAGACTGATACCACAATGATCGTCACACATCTTATGTAGCCTCATTTTAAAGATGGAAACAATGATGTAGTGTAATAGAACGCACTCAGTCTTCCATGTCTCAAGCAATCCACCCAGTTCCCTGACTTGCAGTCTCACCTATATCCTTGAAAGTAGCTGGAGACCGGTTATCTGGGCGGGTACCCTGTGAGACTTTAATACTTAGTGTTCCTTTCGGAACTCTGCTTCCTTAACTGGGTCACTGACTAACTATAGAACGCAAGCTACAGTATATGATTAAGAGCAATACTTTATGCTCGAAACGTCATCAAGTGAAATGGTACTATATCACTGTATGCTATATCAAATGGACGAATGTAATGTGGAATTAGTGGAGCTGTAGGTCATTGGTTTAGGGAATATGACTTTCAACCAATGGGTCATGGCTTTGAACACCGTCCCACCTACCGAGGTTTGGGCAACCAGGTTTTATGATTAGCCGTCACACAATAGGTATGGTTCATCCTCGCCTACTACACCAATGTGCACAACGTTGCTGACTGCATTTTAATTCGATTTGGCTATGGGATTACAAGCTACGGTAGTCGGTGTTGTTGGAACATCAGTTCATCTAAATTTTTTCAAAAATGCTTCTTAAAACATTCCAGACGTCTGAAAAGACTGTGTCAGTATACTGTTAACGTCACAAATCATTTTACTGACTCCTTGCCAATAGCCTGTGTCACCTGCAACAACTTTGAGGTATTGCTAATAAAGCTGTTATCCCCATCTCCCTTGCACGTTCTGTTCACCAATTCTCTTACTCAAAGTACTACATGACAGTCCTCAATGAATTTTGATCATAGAATGAAAACTTGTATTTTCATTTATTTCTAACCAAAGTGATAAAAGAAACATTTCAGTTACTCTTCTCCTCTTTAATTGTATTTCCAACCTTTTAGATAAACATTATCACAAATTTAAATGATGATTTGTTACAACTTAGATGATGATGGCCACATCGATCATCAATGTTGGTTAATCTTCTCGCTGATAAAAATATTTACAGATCCATTTTAGTAGGTTTTAAGGGTTTCATTTCCATTTTATTGTTTTTTTTAAAAAAAGGGTTTACTACTCAAGAGAATGTAGTCGTTCTAGCTGCTACCAATCGGATTGACATTCTAGATCCAGCCCTTTTGAGACCAGGACGCTTTGATCGTCAAATCTATGTATCCTTGCCGGACATCAAAGGTCGTTCATCGATATTTAAGGTAGGTCTCCTTATTGGTGTATACCTGTTGTGGATTTGAATTCTAATACATGTAATGTAATTATGACTTAGCGCTATAAGATAGAAATGTATGACATACTTTTCACAGTTTCAAATGCTTCACACAGTCTTTAACTTGATCCGTGCTAATGAGAGAGTTCATGTAAATGAAAGAATATTTGTTTCCAATACTTCATCCATTTACTTGACATAAACTCGATTCAGTATAAATGGCAAGAAATTAACCAATTAGATTACCCTTCTTGAGAACCTGAGCGCTAGGATATGGGTTTTACACTTAGTGCCGAAAAATCAGTATATTGGAAGTGGGCTGATTAATAGTAATCCTCTTAATCAGCTCACTTATTATTGTTGTGTAATTACCATTAACACGTTACTACTTAACATAACCCTTCACGTTTCTTTTCAACTTTTGTTAGGCCAGTCCAGTAACAATCTGCTTCAATTCATTTTGCACATTTTTTCCTAAACTCTTCGTAGTTACTGCATTCATCATCTTGGGTCTTCTTTCTTCTGATGATCAACTTGATGAGTAGCTTCACTGTTAATCAGCCTATTCGGCATATTAAACTAGTATTTTGATAGTTTTATACAGTCAATAAGTTTATCTGGTATAACATAGTAAAACAGTACCGTTATTATTATAATCTAGTAATACTGTGTCATATCATTTTGAAGGCATCATACTTTATCGCAGTGCTCAAATTCTACTCTTAAAATAATAATAATAATAATAATAATAATAATAATAATAATAATAATAATAATGATTATCATTTTGTTTATCTTGACATGTGTTCTCTGTTGCAAATGTAATCATGTTTGTTGTCAAAAATGACTATTTCATTGGGGCATTGTTTGCTTTCCTTCTTTGTATTGAGGTACACTTAAAACCAATCAAATTAGCAGATGATATACAACTTGTGGCTCGTAAGATGGCCACACGTACTCCTGGATTTTCTGGTGCAGATATTGCTAGTGTATGTAATGAAGCAGCTTTAATTGCAGCGCGTGAAAGTGCTCACAATGTTAATTTGATGCATTTTGATAAGGCAATTGATCGTGTAATCGCTGGCTTGGAAAAGAAAAGTCAGGTAAGGCTTGACTTTTGCTGTATAGTTTGAGAATTGTTGACAGTTATTTCTTCCCACAGTTTATGGTTTAGATTTTCATATGTGGTGAGATTTGAATTTAAAATATTTTCACATGAAAATATATCCCTCCCTTACCGAGTTGCCTTTTTATGTGTGCGAATAACAGGAACTTGATTCACAAAGATAAGTTGCTTTTATTATGATGGGTTTTGTGCAATTCACTTCTAAAATGAGTGTTCAGTACAGCCTTAAACTTCCCATATCTTTATTTATCGTGTTGTAAAATATCCCACTGTCTTTCATTCGATTATTCATCCCAATGTTACTATGTATATGAAAGAGATTTTTACAGAATTTCAAGTAGCATAGCAGCAAATACATCTGATACAAAGATCAGTATTCTAAAGTTGTTTAACCACCCTAACCATCAGTTCAGCTGAACATGGGAAATGTTGTTCGAGTGAAAATAATCTTGGATACAAATGAGCGTACTCATGAAAATTCCTGCCTTTGATTACAAATTATTGTTCATTTTGTTTATTTAGTAGTAGTTTATGATATACTACTTCTATAATATTTTCTGCACACTGATTCGTACATTTTCCCCCTAAAAGTGAAACCTTATTACAGCAAAATATTCCGTTAAAAAATATAGCAAAAGAGTGCTCAATGAAGATTCCAATAAAGCCAGTATTCTACTCTTATTCTTTTCACTGTAAATTAAAGTCACTTATGGAATCATTCTTACTACCAGTTCCTAAACTGCTTTATCTTATTATCATGACCTAGTTAAATGCAATGCAAATGTTCAACCCATTACAGGCCTCAATCCACACTTATTGTGGTGAAACTTCATGACACTACCCGTGTGTCGAGACCAAAGAGTGAGGGGCATAAACCTGGAACTCGTTACTTGAAAATTAACTATCTAATACAAAAATCCATATCTCCACTGATATGGTTGTAAACTAGTGTTTCTTCCATAATGTAACGTAGACAGCTCGATATACTGTTTTTTAGGTGTTCAGAATTCTAAATATCTGTGGGTAGTGAGTGTAAATTGATCAAATAGGTGTCAGTGAAGTAGTTATGTCTTTTGTGGTGTATCATGCAGTCGAATAATATTAGGCTTTTCGAATAACCCGTTCCAACTTTTTAAAGTTCCACTAGAAAAACATGTATTCTTTTCGAATACGTACACTTTGAAGAGTAGGACGGCAAACCGATTTTTCTTGAAACGCTTCATGTAAATTAAATGTACTACTCATGAAGGAATAGTTTTTTTTTTAAAAATCCTTGAGTCATTTAACTTGTTTCATTGGATGAGTTTGTTTGTATTACATATGTCTTCATCATACTACCTGGAGGTCTACTATTACTGGTCATCTTAAAGTAGTACAAACAGTAACGATTATTATTAATAATATTTGCCTTAAGTTCATGTACAGTGCTAAATAGTGGTATCTTTCAGACTGCGCACAACCAGTTTTGTGCTGATGAGTTCTAAATGTTTTGATAACCATCGGGTAAGTTTGTAAAACGGTGAGTTGACCAATGATCGTATTGTTCTCATCGGGACATTAACTTTGTGCACTTTTTGTTGGTGAAGAATCTTAGCATCACCAAGCATGCCAGTTGTCACTATTTCTGTTATACTTCGTTATAAGCAAAAAAAATAGTGTTTCAGTAACACTGAATGAAAGTTAGTGTATCCACGTGCTTAGAAATATTTCATCAGAAATTGCGAGGGGAATGGTATGTATGTATCGATTGCTTCTGCTTCTGGACGTGTAATATTGCATTAGAAAGTTGTGATCTCGATTTCCTGAGGAAATAATCGCCCCTGATCTCTCAGGAATAGTGGGCCTCAGAATATATGATATTGAGCTTGGTGTGTATATCTTAAATGTTATGTTTGTGAAAAGCATCTCTGTATCTTATGCTCATTTTCGTCTTCCAATTGACCTTTTTAATACTTTCATTTGTTTACTCTTACCTAAACATGAGGGTATTCGGACAGTTGCGTATCGGATAGACTTTTAAAAAAGAAAAAGAGGTAGGATTCACCAACCGTACTATCTGAAACGAAGTAACAGGTTATATCCTATTTCCACTCTAGGCTTGTGTGTATGTGCAGTTTTGTTTTTTTCTGCAAAGTGTACTATACTTTTCTTCTGCGTGTTACTCAGTTACCTTTTGGTAGCCATACCTTATTCATACTTTATGTTTTATTCCTTTAATAGGTTTTACAACCTGATGAAAAAAAGACAGTTGCCTATCATGAAGCTGGGCATGCAGTTGTTGGTTGGTTCCTAGAGCACTGTAATCCACTGCTGAAAGTTTCAATTATCCCCCGTGGAAAAGCTCTCGGTTATGCACAGTATCAATCCAGAGATATATACTTGCATACTAAGGAGCAAATGTTGGATGAAATGTGTCTAGCACTAGGTGGTCGAGCAAGTGAAGAAGTATTTTTTGGAAAAGTTGGAAGTGGTGCAGTAGATGACTTACAACGTGTCACTCGATCAGCTTATTCACAGGTTGTCCAATTAGGATTTAGCACCAAGGTTGGCTTATTGAGCTTTAATTTACCACAACAAGGAGATATGGTTCTTACTAAACCATATTCTGAACACACTGCTCAGATAATTGATGAGGAGGTTAGACAACTTGTGCAATCTGCCTACGAACGAACACTAGGCATTCTGAAAGAAAAACGAGAACTTGTTGAACAGGTATGTTTGCATTTTTTGCATTTATAACCGCATTTCGCTGTTAAAAATTTTGAAAAATTAGATTAATTTATACAGTATTGCTTTGGATTAAATCCTCCTGAGATTCTGAAGTATATGTAGAAATCGCAATACATTCAGCAACCACATGCAAGTTCTTGCAATTGGCAGTGTGCAGTCATACATTTTGTGTTATGACTATTGTGTTATGGTACCTGTGTGCCCTAAGCTTCTGTAAATGAGTTGGGGCTCGTACTCGTGGCCAATTATTGGAAAGTTGAGCACCTGGATCGATGAACCATAGCTTTGTCAGATTGCAGTATCAAGTACACAGACGAGAAGATCAAAGGCAACATGATAGTTCATCCTGACGTTCCAACAGTCAAAGTAGGGAAAAGTGCTCAAGTAGCATGATAATCGGATATGAAAGAAGCAAATAAAAGAATGATAGGAAAAAAAGAATCGTTTGCTCACTTTGCAAGCTTTTCTGAAGTCTTATTTTAGTATATAGTTTACTTGCAGAATCTTAATCCTTAATAGTAGTAGTGATAAAATCAAGTCTAGGTTTAGCTGTAGTTAAACAGGGATGACTTGGTTTCAAACTTTATTTCCTAAACATAAAAGAATTCTTTAGTGCAACCAAAAGTAGATAAATTAAGGGTCACTGTAGCAAGATTTCAAATAACGAACGATGTTAACCTGTAGAACAACGTACTTAGTCTAAATCATATATTGGGGTGTGTATAAAGGCGACAAATTATAAACGTGTTAGACTACCCCCAAGATATTGTACTTTAAAAAAGATTAATTTGATTAGTTATAGTTAACACCTATATGCTCAGCTTCATGCAAAAGATGCGTTTAATTTCCGTAAGTGGAGATTCAGCATGCTGCCATAATTTAATATGGTAGTTTTCAGGTGAAACAAAATGGAGCTCTGTGTGAACTCTACTTGTCTGTCACCCTAATTACTGCGGTAAGTTGCGAAAAAGACCGTTATTTATATTTTTTTATTTGAATGGTGAGGGGTTAGTGAATATGACATGGACTTCTCATCTACTAAGTGCAAACTAGTGTTTCAGTACTTCTCCATATTGAAACTGCCTGTAAATCGGTAGTTAGGTAGTTACATACACTGTATCAATTAGGTCGATAACCCATCAAACCTCAGCACAGGTTTGAAAGGTTATTTTTAATTTCTGCCGAATTGTGCTTCTTGTGATAATGATGAAATATCTGATTTCCCTCTATGGGTCGAGCTGAGTATACAACAGCTTGTCGTGTTCACTCTCTAATGCAGTTACAAAAAGGTATGAAGATCATTACCGATGTGGTTCTGATAGGATTGTAAACGTGTATTATGATTTGTTGACTGCTTTTCGTATAAGATATGCCCGAAATTTTTCGGTTATTCAAAAAGGGATTTTTAAGTATTTGTCAGAGACTTTCATACTTTGCATGTGGTTTAGTAACCAAGGCTACAATTTATTTGATCACTGATATTTTATAGTGCTTAAATACTTTTTTTCTCGAGCCATAGTAATGAATAGTTTTTATCCTTTCCTGTTGTTCTTTCTTACTAGTTAGCTTTACGTTTATTAGAAAAAGAGCAGTTACAGAAAGAAGACCTAGTTGAAGTATTAGGTCCCAGACCATTTGCTGAGAAGAACACGTATGAAGAGCTTGTCGGTCCCGGTAAGTCTTCCAAGATATGTTAAATAGAGCGTATGTAAATGTATTGAGAACACCGTGTTCTCGTCTACATACGCATCTCAATCCAGTCGACATTCTAACTAAAGTGTGGAAAAGCAAGAAACACTTGAAGAAAAATTTATATATATATATATAAGTTGAGGTTTGGTAGTAATATCACAGCTCCTTGTAACTAAAGTGTTTCCAAAGGCTTTTGTCCGTAGATCGAGTACTTAAAGCACAGAGTCATGCTGCCACTACTTATTCTAGATTTATTCATATTATAAATCTTGTAGGACTCATGTACCAACTTCTTTAGCATTCTAATCAACCCAGAAATGTCGCGATAAATGGAGTTTTATGCACTTGTCTCACGAAAGTCAGATGAAGATCAATCCCAGTATTCACTATTTATAATTATTCTAATGATTATTTTGCACAATGACTGAATATCAGCCAAGCCTTTGTTTAACCCCAAATGTATTCCATGCGGGTGTCATTCACCGTGTGGTAGTGAATAAACGTCACTTTGTATCTTTTGATGATCAAAGTTGCTTTTATTACAATTTTTCGGTGAGAGGATAAAATATCATAGACGAAAGCGTTAGACCTTCATTTTTCCTCCTTATTTCCTAAGTAGTCTCATCAAATTACTTATAGACGACATGCTGTTAAAAAGGCATATCGATGTATAACTCATTCCAATTACCGGAGAAACAATGGAAGTTATTATTCCTATTGCTGCGATAGGTATAACTTTTGAATACTCACTTTTTATTCAAGACAGGTATTTTTTGCACAAACAGCTGGTGTCGTAGCAAAGTGATGTACTCTTTCTGATTCAGATATGTAGTTACTTTTCCGTGTACCTTACAACTATGTGTTAATTATCAGTAATGACATTAAAAATGTTCTATGCAACTACAATTGCTTCCATTATTAATCGCTGTATCAATTATTAAAGAAGTATCTATGTTGAAAGCTTCTAAGTCTAGCGTTCCACTTGGATGCAGCTTTTAATTTTCCTAAAAATAGTTTGAATATATTTAGCTTCTCTTTTTCTTGTATAAAGTATCTACGACCATAATGATGTTGTCCATGCTTGACTTTCTACAGGCCCACTGGATGAAGATATATCATTACCTCCTGGCCTCAAAGACTGGAATAAAGAATCGGAAACCGAAGCCAAGCCTTCATAGAATTTCATAGTCTAGGTTGTATACTTGTCCTAATAGTCTAACTTTGACATGAGTCTTTGCAATTAAAATTTCGAAAGATAATGTATAAAATAAGCTTTTTCATTCCTAAGATTGCCTTCTTATACCACATTTGTCTTAGCCCGGTGATACTTTGTAGTGTCTATTATTTACTAAATGAGTTGGATCATGTTAGTTGACAACTTCTTCTGTGTATCAGTACTTTTCCTCCTTCAATCTATCGTGTGTGAGTAAATCGTTCAATTAACTTTGCTTAAACGTCGTTAAAAGAAGTTTATTTTGCGTCAAAAGACATTTTCCAGTTGGAAATTTCAAGAAGTTCTTGTTTATATTTTACCTTTCATTTGTGACCACCCTCTGCTTGTGTGAGTGGTTATTTTGATTTTCTGGATCTTCCCAGGTCGATCAAACGCCACCAAGCGCATATACGTGAAAACGGCGTACACAATAAGCCGTTCACCCCTAATAACGGAGAAGGCTCTAAAATCCTAGGTACCTACCCTTACCTTCCTATGAGGGACGGAAGCTGCTCCCCAACCTGGTTTGTTTCACTAAGGCTGGCCATACCTCATAATTATCACTCTACTAATATCAACACTCCTTTCACCGTGTTTAGATGGTGGAACCCCAGGCATTTCAGCTGTTACTGCCTGTGTGACTAGCTAATAATTGACCAGGTTCATGAGTCAGTCGGTAACTGCTTGTGTATGAGGGATTACAAATAGTATGAATTCGCTATCTATGGTTAGTCTGTAATTAGGATTTGTAAATCTGCTTACCTGTCTATTCATTTTTGCGAAGAATGCGTCATGCATCCTCGAGCTTTTGTGACTTCATTATCCAAATGCTGGTAGTCGATAGGATGTCGTCACATTCTCAATGGATTCACTGTAGCTGCTTTGTTTGATGATGGATAATTACTAAGTGATTTTTATTCGTATTTGAGGTCATTTTACGTGATATTGGTTGGATATTCTTCTAGCATGGACAACAATCTAACCTGGTGGGTATGGCATATAGTTTCTATTCTGTCCCGAGTATTCCAGCATCATCTACAAATTACAACACTATCACCTCTCCAAATCCATTACAATTGGTTTGATTTCACTCGTGCACTGCGATGTCAAGGCCATCAGTATCATAACCCCAGTGGTGACAAACTGAAAACTAATTAAAGGTAGGGTCTGCTTTGGAAAGAGTGGTTACATTGGTTGGAATAGTTTTCTTAAGGTTAACATCATCAAGAAGGAAAACAGAAATAAGTTGTTTTGCTCATTTTCAGGCGTTTGCCAATACAAGAAACTTTTCGGTCATATAAAAAACTGTCTTATTTCCATAAATGGAATGGCAAACATCAATGTAGAGCATTACACTACTAAATCAATTCCAGTTGCTACCCTTGTAAGCAGTGTACAAAATGGCAGGGAGTTGAGACTGATCTTAAATTCTACCCAAAGTAGAAAGTTTATTAAAAACGCTAAACTACTTAGGCATACGCACTGAAAGTGAAAGACATAAGGAAGTAACAGGTTCTCAGTCAAAGATATCAAGGCACTTCACGTTTAGTTTCCTCGTTGATGTACCTGTCTACTTGTCAGAAAGTATGAGTAATGGATGGGTTAAATCATTACGCTGATTAGGGCAACCCAGAAACAATTAGATTTTGGATGCTACGGAATAACCAAGTTAGCCTTTCTTATGTTACTTTGTCTAAGGATGCTCAGCTAATAGCTGCTACCGTGATGTGATGGTCGGGCTTGCATATTGCGATAAGCCGGTGAGCTCTACTGGTGGGGCGCTTGTTCTCTCGAGGTCCTAACACACCAGAAACATGTGTTAGAGAGTGGTAGGGCGAAAATTGCTGTTGTAGTGTGAATTACTAGACTGAAATGACCTGGGGGAGAAATTCGTACTGCTGCTAGCTGGATTAGAGGTGACAGCAGTAAGGTGTTTCCTTTGGATTACCAGCAGTGCCCACCCTGATGCTACCTTCCCTTTGGGAATGGAGGGTTAGGAAAAGGTCGGCCCAGAAAATAGCACACCCTTGCCTCCTCACGGCATGGCGTCACTTGCAACAGGGATTCATATTCGAATTCAAAAGCGAAAAGCCAAACTCAAAATTGCCAAAAGACCGTGTGTAACCGGCCTCAAACAGATGTCCCATGGACTGTGCGGTCACGCTCTCTTTCCTTTCAGGTACATCAGAAAGAACTATCCTTCCACAGTATGGGCAGCTGAGAAGTGTCGGTCGCCTGCACGCTTCCAACAGGGCCAGATCAAACAACCCATCCTCTTACTCTATCAACCTCTGACTCTGCAACCGTTGTCAACGATCGAAACTGTCGATACCTCATTCCTAGCCCCCTAAGACCCCGCCATCGATTTCATATAGGAGCTTTCAACCTCCAAACGATATACCAAATCGGACACCAAGCATTACTCGCCGAAACTCTAGAATCTCTAGCCATTAATGTATGCCGTGTCTCTGAGACACGTATCAGACAATACCCGAGTGTGGTTATTAAAATGACGTCAGCTGGGCATGTTAGCGAATCTTCCAACTCCACATTAAGAGTATCCGGAGACCGCAGTGGCTAGCGCCCATGGACTCGCTGATTTAGGAGGGATAGCATTGAGTTGTAGAGAAGAAAGTGCACTTGTCAACTGGATCTCAGTAAACAGCCATCTATATGCTGTGTCGGCTGGTTAGATCTGTAAAGATTGGGAAGCATCATGAGACTAAGCGATGACCCTTCCTAGTCTTTGTCAACATACACATGGACTGCAGTTCGGACGATGCAAAGGACTAATTCCATGAGAAGCTGTCAGCTTTGCTACAGAAACTCCAACGTTGGGATGCAGTAAAAATGGCAGTTGACGTTAACACTGGAGTAGCGAAACTGAGCTGAGTCAATCGCAAAGGTACCTTTGTGGTACTCACAGAATCCCATGCCGAAAAACCGACAAGGGTGGTCGTCTGCTGCAATTTCGCTCCAGTAATCACTTGTGTGTAGACTGCACTAATTTCAGGCATGAGGAGAGACACTGTCTCACATGCGTCCGCCGAGGTCAAACCAACGATGGATACGTATAGATCACCTTGCTATAAGCCATCGTTGGAGCAAACTGCCGCTCTTTCTGAAGTACCAATTTGGACAGACGATAGTAAAGCGTGTCTATTGTACATGGGATGATGAGGACGCGAAGTACGCATTTAGAGAGGAGTTAGCTAACCAATAATTTGAACGTGACAGTAATGGTCATCGTGAGGAACCCGGTATGCTACCAAGTTTTCTGTTAAAACATTGGTAAAGGCAATTCGTAACCTACACAAGAAGGTTAGAGAAAGTCATTGGATATTCGCGACGTCATCCAATCTGATTGATGCGGGAAGCCTGATTCTAGCTCTGACCACGAGGAAGAGCGAAAGTAACTGGAATGTAAGTTGACCAAGAGTCTTCGCATGATCACGAGCGGTGGTGGGTGGCGGAAACGAGAGGAATGGAGAAGTCATTAACGTTAGATAACACCTGGGAACTATTCAGGTTTATTAAGAATACCGGCAAGAAGAAGACGATGGTTAGTAAAACCATCACGGAAAGGGATGGAACACTGGTAACCTCCCATAAGAGACGGCTGGAACGTTGAGCAGAACACTTGGAAGCACAGTTCAACTTGCCTTCAACAACTTTTCAGTTGCCAACATCCAGCCACCCTGAACATAAATGGGACGTTTAGAAAACTGTATCGAGCGTGAAACGATGTAATGCAGTAGGAGCTGGCAGTTTCCCCATGAAGTTTTCAAGAATGGAGGTAGGAAATCACTGATTGAAGTGATGGAGGTACTGCGTAGTGTATGGGAATCAGAGGTACTGCCTTCATACTGGTTTACTTCTCTGAACATGCCGGTCATTAGGAAGAGGGGGAAGCCTTCTTGTGTCAACCACAGGGGAATTAGTCTGACTAATACCATGTCCAAGATACTGAGGTCCGTAGTTATCTCAGGCCCAGCTGGAGTAAAGAAAACTCGATAAAACCAGGTGGGTTTCAGAAAAAGCTGGACGAGAACGTATCGATCATATTTTGACCCTTCGACTGGTTCTGGAGGAAAGGAATACCTACGGGTGGCTGGCACTTGCCATATTTGTTGACCTAAAGGCGGCATTTCACTCAGTCGACCGTGAGTTGTTGTGGCAGTGTGTGACTATGAAGAAAGTACTGAGCAAGTATATAACGCCAATCAAAGCTCTTCACGCAGCCGTGTAAAGGCTTATGAACAGTTATCATGTAAACTGACTACAATTAGTGGTGTTAGGGATGTCTACTATCACCGTTCCCACTCAACTTCATCGTCAACGTACTAATGGACATAACCTAATGTACGTTTGACTACACAAGGATTGATACATTCCCTGGTAGTGGTTAAGTTGATTTGTAATATGCAGACGATATTGTTGTGCTCGATGAATACGCTGGCAAAGTGCTGGGTATTCTGGATGCATTAATCAGAAATCTGAGTACACTTGGCATGCGTCTTGGTTGCACCTGTCAAATGTAAGATGATGCTCCAGGGACTAGTCTGCTGCAAGTACTGTCAGTTTAATGATACCAGGTAGGAAGCTGTGGAATGTGTCAACGACTTCACTTACTTGGGGAGTTGTATCAGTCCCCCGAACTGCCTGGTTGCTCGCGAAATCTCAGCTCGAATACAGAAGCTTCGTTTGGCATTTGCAACTTACAACGTCTGTGGGGCCGACTGGCGAGATAACTGACTACCTATCAAAAGATGAGTACACTGCGCTGCATTTCGTTCTGTCATGTTATACGGATGTGCAACATGGCCTTTAAAAGTAGTAGACATGAAGCGATTACATGGTTTGATCATAGTTGTCTTCGTGTTAGTTGGAATCACCGTGTGAGCAATGTTGAGGTAAGGCAAATAATACTAGGCAAGACAGTCAAGTCGATTAATGACCTTAGGAACCGTAGTCGACTGAGATGGCTTGAACATGTGTTGCACCTGCCTATCTCGACTTATCATGCTAGTGGGAGTTGGATTAGTTTGGATGAGGTTTCAAGAAAACCAGATG